TGGGCCTGCGTTGCTTGCGAAGAAGTCGATGGGCGTGTTGCCTAAGAAGGCAGCGGAAGCTGGCGCGAAGGCGGCGGCTGAAGCGGGTTTGAAGGCAGGGGAGGGCGAGTCAGAGGCGAAGGCAGCAGAAGGCGGCGATGCGAAGAGCGTGTCTGGGGTCGATGCGAAGGCTGGACCTGTTGCGTCGTCGAAGGCGGGTGCTGGGCCTGCGTTGCTTGCGAAGAAGTCGATGGGCGTGTTGCCTAAGAAGGCAGCGGAAGCTGGCGCGAAGGCGGCGGCTGAAGCGGGTTTGAAGGCAGGGGAGGGCGAGTCAGAGGCGAAGGCAGCAGAAGGCGCCGATGCGAAGGCTGGACCTGTTGCATCGTCGAAGGCAGGGCCTGGGCCTGCGTTGCTGACGAAGAAGTCGATAGGTTTGTTGCCTAAGAAGGCAGCGGAACCTGGCGCGAAGGCGGCGGCTGAAGCGGGTTTGAAGGCAGGGGAGGGCGAGTCAGAGGCGAAGGCAGCAGAAGGCGGCGATGCGAAGAGCGTGTCTGGGGTCGATGCGAAGGCTGGACCTGTTGCGTCGTCGAAGGCGGGTGCTGGGCCTGCGCTGCTTGCGAAGAAGTCGGTGGGCGTGTTGCCTAAGAAGGCAGCGGAAGCTGGCGCGAAGGCGGCGGCTGGAGCGGGTTTGAAGGCAGGGGAGGGCGAGTCAGAGGCGAAGGCAGCAGAAGGCGATGATGCGAAGAGCGTGTCTGGGGTCGATGCGAAGGCTGGACCTGTTGCGTCGTCGAAGGCGGGTGCTGGGCCTGCGCTGCTTGCGAAGAAGTCGATGGGCGTGTTGCCTAAGAAGGCAGCGGAAGCTGGCGCGAAGGCGGCGGCTGAAGCGGGTTTGAAGGCAGGGGAGGGCGAGTCAGAGGCGAAGGCAGCAGAAGGCGGCGATGCGAAGAGCGTGTCTGGGGTCGATGCGAAGGCTGGACCTGTTGCGTCGTCGAAGGCGGGTGCGGGGCCTGCGCTGCTTGCGAAGAAGTCGGTGGGCGTGTTGCCTAAGAAGGCAGCGGAACCTGGCGCGAAGGCGGCGGCTGGAGCGGGTTTGAAGGCAGGGGAGGGCGAGTCAGAGGCGAAGGCAGCAGAAGGCGATGATGCGAAGAGCGTGTCTGGGGTCGATGCGAAGGCTGGACCTGTTGCGTCGTCGAAGGCGGGTGCTGGGCCTGCGTTGCTTGCGAAGAAGTCGATGGGCGTGTTGCCTAAGAAGGCAGCGGAAGCTGGCGCGAAGGCGGCGGCTGAAGCGGGTTTGAAGGCAGGGGAGGGCGAGTCAGAGGCGAAGGCAGCAGAAGGCGGCGATGCGAAGAGCGTGTCTGGGGTCGATGCGAAGGCTGGACCTGTTGCGTCATCGAAGGCGGGTGCTGGGCCTGCGTTGCTGATGAAGAAGTCGATGGGCGTGTTGCCTAAGAAGGCAGCGGAACCTGGCGCGAAGGCGGCGGCTGAAGCGGGTTTGAAGGCAGGGGAGGGCGAGTCAGAGGCGAAGGCAGCAGAAGGCGCCGATGCGAAGGCTGGACCTGTTGCATCGTCGAAGGCGGGTGCTGGGCCTGCGTTGCTGACGAAGAGGACGATAGGTTTGTTGCCTAAGAAGGCAGCGGAACCTGGCGCGAAGGCGGCGGCTGAAGCGGGTTTGAAGGCAGGGGAGGGCGAGTCAGAGGCGAAGGCAGCAGAAGGCGCCGATGCGAAGGCTGGACCTGTTGCATCGTCGAAGGCAGGGCCTGGGCCTGCGTTGCTTGCGAAGAAGTCGATAGGTTTGTTGCCTAAGAAGGCAGCGGAAGGTGGCGCGAAGGCGGCGGCTGAAGCGAGTTTGAAGGCAGGGGAGGGCGAGTCAGAGGCGAAGGCAGCAGAAGGCGCCGATGCGAAGGCTGGACCTGTTGCATCGTCGATGGCGGGTGCTGGGCCTGCGTTGCTTGCGAAGAAGTCGATAGGTTTGTTGCCTAAGAAGGCAGCGGAAGGTGGCGCGAAGGCGGCGGCTGAAGCGGGTTTGAAGGCAGGGGAGGGCGAGTCAGAGGCGAAGGCAGCAGAAGGCGGCGATGCGAAGAGCGTGTCTGGGGTCGATGCGAAGGCTGGACCTGTTGCGTCGTCGATGGCGGGTGCTGGGCCTGCGTTGCTTGCGAAGAAGTCGATAGGTTTGTTGCCTAAGAAGGCAGCGGAAGCTGGCGCGAAGGCGGCGGCTGAAGCGGGTTTGAAGGCAGGGGAGGGCGAGTCAGAGGCGAAGGCAGCAGAAGGCGGCGATGCGAAGAGCGTGTCTGGGGTCGATGCGAAGGCTGGACCTGTTGCGTCGTCGAAGGCGGGTGCTGGGCCTGCGTTGCTGGCGAAGAAGTCGATGGGCGTGTTGCCTAAGAAGGCAGCGGAAGCTGGCGCGAAGGCGGCGGCTGAAGCGGGTTTGAAGGCAGGGGAGGGCGAGTCAGAGGCGAAGGCAGCAGAAGGCGCCGATGCGAAGAGCGTGTCTGGGGTCGATGCGAAGGCTGGACCTGTTGCATCGTCGAAGGCGGGTGCTGGGCCTGCGTTGCTTGCGAAGAAGTCGATGGGCGTGTTGCCTAAGAAGGCAGCGGAAGCTGGCGCGAAGGCGGCGGCTGAAGCGGGTTTGAAGGCAGGGGAGGTCGAGTCAGAGGCGAAGGCAGCAGAAGGCGCCGATGCGAAGGCTGGACCTGTTGCATCGTCGAAGGCGGGTGCTGGGCCTGCGTTGCTTGCGAAGAAGTCGATGGGCGTGTTGCCTAAGAAGGCAGCGGAACCTGGCGCGAAGGCGGCGGCTGAAGCGGGTTTGAAGGCAGGGGAGGGCGAGTCAGAGGCGAAGGCAGCAGAAGGCGCCGATGAGAAGTGCGTGTCTGGGGTCGATGCGAAGGCTGGACCTGTTGCGTCGTCGAAGGCGGGTGCTGGGCCTGCGTTGCTTGCGAAGAAGTCGATGGGCGTGTTGCCTAAGAAGGCAGCGGAACCTGGCGCGAAGGCGGCGGCTGAAGCGGGTTTGAAGGCAGGGGAGGGCGAGTCAGAGGCGAAGGCAGCAGAAGGCGGCGATGCGAAGGCTGGACCTGTTGCGTCGTCGAAGGCGGGTGCTGGGCCTGCGTTGCTTGCGAAGAAGTCGTTGGTCGTGTTGCCTAAGAAGGCAGCGGAACCTGGCGCGAAGGCGGCGGCTGGAGCGGGTTTGAAGGCAGGGGAGGGCGAGTCAGAGGCGAAGGCAGCAGAAGGCGCCGATGCGAAGCCTGGACCTGTTGCTTCGTCGAAGGCAGGGCCTGGGCCTGCGTTGCTGACGAA